GGCAACTGAGACTGGGTGTGGTGGTGCATGCCTGTGATCCTAGAGCTTGGGAGGCTGAAAACGGGAGAATCACAAGGGTCCAGTCTACGTAGTGAGACCCTGTAGACCCTGTCCTAAATACATTAAAATAAATTTGTGTGTGTGTGTGTGTGTGTGTGTGTGTGTATAGAAGTAGTATCTTGCTGGACATGTACCTGTAATCCCAGTGCTCCTGGCTACATTGTAAGTTTAAGGGCAGCCTAGAATATAATAAACACATAATAAATGTTAAATTTAATTTTCCTGCTAAGGAAAGATGCTTTGTTTTTAAATTTTGAGGCAAGGTCTAAGTTACTAAATTTCCTAGGCTGGGCTCAAACTTGGAATCTTACTGCCTCAGTCTTCTAGACTACTGATATTATAAGCTTGTGCTACACACACACACACACACACACACACACACACACAAATAAATAAAACTAGCTATAAGCTTGTGCTACCACACCCAAGTAAGAGAAAATTCTTAAATTTTGGTATTCTATGAATTTTATTTTTATGAATGAATGAATGCCAGGATCTCACTGTACAATCCAGTTTGGCCTTGAACTCAGTCCTTCCACTCAGCTTTAAGTGCTAGGATTATAGGCATGTACTGCCATAATAGGCAATAAAAATTCTTTGTGTTTTAACTAATACTACTGAAAATTGTCATTGATTATATTACTTATTTATTTACAGTTGGTAATTTAGGTTTGTTTTGGGATTTTTGAATTGTTTTTGGCAGTGATGGGGACCATGCTCTCAAGCTTTAAAAGCAAGTGCTCTGTTAGTAAATTATCAGTTTAAGCATAGCTTAAGCATGGGTTTGGGCCCTAAGTAGTATATTTCTGTGTGAAGTGCATATGAACTTCAATTTTGTCTCATACAGGTCCACTATTACGAAGATGGCAATGTTCAATTGGTTAGTCATAAAGATGTGCAAGATTCAATAAGTGTGTCGGTAAGTAAACCATATTTACAGTCTGTGTCATTTGTTCCTTGTTTTTCTTAAAGATAATAGTTTTGCCCTTGGGACCAGGGAGATAGCTCAGTAGAGTTAAGTGCTTGCCTGGAAAGCACAAGGGCCAGAGTTCAATCCCCGGTTCCAAAAAAAAAATAGTTTTTTGCCCTTAAGGGCTCATGTTCTAATGTATCTTCTGTTATTGCCTCTTATTAGTTGCTGCTATACTAACCTCACCTCAAAATAGTGACTGTGGATATCTTGGTTACTTTTCTCTTATTGCTGGGACAAAATGCCAGACACCCAAAATTATGGAAAGAAAGTTTTACTTAGCTCACAGTTGTGGGAGCTTCAGTCCATACTCGTCTGGCTCCAAGGCAGAGTGGCACATGGCAGAAGCCAGCAAGCAGTTCATGGTGCTACAAACAGCAAGAGCAAAGAGGGAGGAGTGGACTGGTGAGATAGCTCAGTGGTCTAAAGCACCTACTTAGAACAAGCTAAGCTGAGCAAAACACAGAGACCGAGGTTCAATCCCCCAGCACCACATGCCACCCAGCCCCGCCCCCTGGTGGGCTAGCTGGACACACACGCACACACAAAATAAATAAACTTCCCCCCCCCCGCCCCCCCCCGGAACCGGGAATTGAACTCAGGCCCTTGCGCTCGCCAGCGAAGCGCTTATTCCACTGAGCCATCTCCCCGGCCCCTTCACTTTATTTATTTATTTATTTATTTATTTATTTATTTATTTATTTTGGGGGGGGCAGCTCAGCCCACCAGGGGGCGGGGCGGGCTGGCATGTGGTACTGGGGGATTGAACCACGGTCCCTGTGCTTTGCTAAGCTTGTTCTAAGTAGGTGCTTTAGACCACTGAGCCATCTCACCAGCCCCTAAATAAACATTTAAAAAAAAAAAGAAAAAAAGTTGTGATGGGAAAAAAAAAAATTAAAACAAAAAAAAAAAGAGGGAGGAGTGGCGACAGGGAGCAAGCCTCTTTCTTTCCCTTATATTACATTCAGTCTGTCCACCCCAGGTTGGGTGCAGCATTCACACCCATAGCCCCAGCACGGATCATGAATTAATCACAAACTCTTGGAGCCCGCCCCATGACTACATAGGCTTTGGTGGGGAATCTAGGTTCACACCATTGACAGTGGGTTGAGAGAAACTTCTCTTTCTTATGCTCTTTTTCAGTAATTTTTTATTTGTGTGTGTGCGTGTGTGTGTGTGGCCAGCTCAGCCCACCAGGGGGCGGGGCTGGCTGGCATGTGGTGCTGGGAGATTGAACCGCGGTCCCTGTGCTTTGCTAAGCTTGTTCTAAGTAGGTGCTTTAGATCACTGAGCCATCTCACCAGTCTTCTTTTTCAGTTTTAATATTGGATCAATGACAGTAACACTTTCCTTCAGTAAATGCCTGGGAGACTTTGTCAAACTGACTCCTATTAAACTGTATTGAGGGGCAGGGGATGATGGCTCAGTAGAATAAGCGCTTCCCTGGCAAGTGCAAGGGCCTGAGTTCAGTCCCCAGTTCTGCAAAAAAAATTGTGTTGCTATCACTAAGAAACATTTTTATAGTATTTTTTCAAGCAGAAAGTTGTGTTCTATGTCTTGAAAGAAGTGACTGAATTTATGTTGGTTTGTTTTGCTCTTTGGGTCAGGGTCACATTAAGGATTGAGCTGGGCTGGGGCTGGGCTGAACTCCTACCTACGTGCTCTTTCCTCGATCTCAAGAGTGCTTAATTATTTCATATGTGTGCAGTACTAGACATTGAGGGGCTGGGGAGATGGCTCAGTGGAATAAGCACTTCCCTGGCAAAGGCAAGGGCCTGAGTTCAGTTCCCCATTCCGCAATAAAAAAAGGTACTAGAGATTGATCCCTGCGTCTTTGCACTGGGCTATATCCTAGCCTCTCCCCACCCTCCACCCTCAGTTTTTTTCTTTATTTGTAGACAGGGTCTCAAGTAGTGAAGTTGTCCAGGCTGGGTTCAAACTTTTGATCCTCCTCCCACTACCTCCCAGAGTGTTGGGATTACAGGTCTGTTACCATGCCCAGCTTTGATTTCTTCTGTAGTCTCATTTCTCCCTGTTCTCTTCTTCCTCCTCCTCTTCCTCACCTTTCTCTCTTCTCCTCTTCCTTTTTTGTGGTACTAGGGATTGAATCACCCAGGGGCACACTACCACAGAGCCACATCCTTCACCCTTTTATTTGGAGACTGCATCTTCCTCACTTACTAAGGCTGGCCCTGAACTTAACTGTTGACCTGCCTTAGCTCAAGTAGCTATAGGCATGTGCTACTCACTGTACCTGTTCATTATCTGTTTATATTCTTAGAAGTTATTGAGTGGTCCCAAGAACTTTTATTTATGTGTGCTATGTTTGTTAATATTTACTAAAAACTAAGAGATGTGTTAAAATATTTGTTAATTTAAAGCAATGAATTAGGGCCTGGGAGATAGCTCATGGTTCTGGGTTCAGTCCCGGATACCACCAAAAAAAAAAACAGTGAACTGGAAGCCAGGCCTAGTGGCATACACCTGGAATACCAGCTACCCAGCAGGCTGAGATAGGTAGATCACAAGTTGGAGGGCAGCCTGTCTATCTTCGCAAAATAGGGTGTCAAACTTGGACGACTGCCACTCAATGCAAGACCTCCAGTTCCATCCCCAGTACTGTAAGCAAGGAGCAAGTCAGTACTAAGCTCGTAAGCTCGTAGTGCTGGCCTCAGGTGGGCGAAGTGGTTGAACCTACAAGTTCAAGATCCGCCTGGGCAACATAGAACTCCATGCAGAAACAAAACAAATGTTAGCATAAGACACGTGTGTGTGTGTGTGTGTGTGTGTGTGTGTGTGTGTGTGTG